GCCGGTGAGTCGATAAGCCGCCACTGGGCATCCCTCTGCGAACTCGCGATAAGCCGATGTGCCGTACGTTCGTTGCAACGCGGTTATCCATTATCTCCGTCCGTAAGAGTACATCCGCCGGGCTACATTCCCGTGGGGAAAGAAAGCCCGAGATACGACGCTTCTCTTTTCGGGGAAGAAACGATCTCATGAAACGGCGAACGAGGCCAAACGGCAAGCCCTATTTATTTTCTCGTTGCTACAGGGTGTTTGGCGCCGATACGGGCTTCGTACATAGATTCTCCAGCTTTTTGGTCGCGAAGCATGATTAATAAAACGCACGCAACATAGTCACGCAGCTACCATTATAAAATTCCTCGTGGAGAACTAACGAAGAGAAAGTGGTACTCTATTTTATAAGGCGAAACAAATTGCTCGGCTTGGATTCGTTCTTTCACGAAACTGAAATAACCACAACGGTGAGACGTCTTAAACGCATGGAGATAGATATCGCATTGAAGTGGTACGTTCACTGATCTTTCGAACGTCAAAGCGTATCATTCGCAAAATAGATCGATAACAGTACGCGCTAAATCGTAGCCTGTGCTTCGAGTATTTTACCTAACCCAACCTAGAGCCAAGTAACTTCCAACAGGAGAGAATCTCGTGAATATCGAAGCGTGTTGGCGAGTGTCGTGACTTTGTCCGGCAACCGACTGATTGCAGAGAACAACGAATGTAGAGTTTCGAAGCGCGTTGCCCTGGCCGTAACGTGTCGGTCACTATTCCGCTGTACGTTGTCGCGAGATCTCCACGCAAAAGAAACGGCTTGCTAGGCTCGATAAGCTGGCCAGGTACGTTGTCCCTTCGACGGATCGATTGGCTGGACACGAACGAATGAACATCAAAACCGTTGTTCGCGACGACAGCGCGACAAGATTCTACGCCTATCTGTGCCTTTGATGGCCTGTTCCCACCCTGCTCGGAAGACTGATGACCGATTTTGAGAGAGACGATAGATGATGATATATTAAAACCCCGTTTGCCACCCCCTGGCTTCGATCGCCAGTCATCCATCAACGAAGGCTGACGGTGAATAGAAAATTGATTAGTCAGCGGGACATCCTTCGCTCGTGAAGAGGAAAGAAAGTTGTCCCGGTTGTCCCTCGATAGAGCAGCCTGCTGATTATGTGGGCGCTTGGATAATAATGTCACGAGATCCATGGGTAATTAACGGAAGCCTGTTCTGTGTCGGTCGAGATGCTCGTCGCTCGGGGAGAGATTAAAATATAATTGGCTGCGTGAGCTTGGGAGGATGGTAAAAATCAGGGTTCGAACATCGATGTTCGTGTTTTATTCAGAAAATAAGAGCGAAGGGAAAAACTGATAAAAAGAAGTGTAGCGAAAAAGAAGAAAAAAGATCAGAGGAGGAGAAGGGATAGAATGAAGAGGATAAAAAGTAGACGAGGCAAAGAGTATCCGTGACACGTTAATTAAGCGTCGAACGGGAATTATTGGCCGTTTCACAGGCGGCGCAGCATGCCGGATACGCCAATGGCGGTAATTACTCGACGGTAAATAGAATCAGTTGATTCGGTGGCGAAATTGACACCGAGTTCAAAGGAAGGTCGTGCGTCGCTTAATTGTCGTCGCGACGCCGGAGGTGCGACGCCGTGGTTACACGGCCGACGTTAAAGCAAGCATCTGTGCCGTTGCGGAGCATCGACGCGCGAAACTCCCTCGACGCGCTACATCAGAGCGAGAGAGAGAGCGAGCGAGAGAGAGAGAGAGAGAGAGAGAGAGAGAGAGGAGGGGGAGCGATGTGCATCGCATTGCACACGTACACAGAGTGATATCCACGTACGTATAGACACACACAGAATGAAAGGTAGGACTGGAAGAGGGATAGTGACGGGCGGTGGTAAAGTGCAACTCGGAGTGCAATTGAGGGTTTTCATAACGACGCTGCTGACGCGAAATAACGCGACCAAGCATCAGGGGCTGTCGTTTCAGTGAAAACGCTAACGAAATCAAAGTACGATCCAAGAGAATTAATTTGCTTATTGTCCCCGTGAAATTGACGTGAAACGAGCCTCGCGAGCCTCGCTAATTGGCCCTGGCGACAAACGCGCGCCGCCACACCGCGCCGATTCTATTCCTTCTCGCTCTTTGAGCATCCGTGGCCCAGTTCTGTCTCACGATCAAGATGAACTTCGTTAAATGCATGTAAATATTTACGTCGTTTCGTCGACGATGTCTTTGAGCCTGTGACACGCTGCCACGGAAAGTGGAGCTCTCGTTTCGCGCGACATTGTTGCACGACACTTGAAATTTCCTCGTACAAGGGACGAGAGAAATTTAAACGAACAATAACTGTTCTAAAGGCTTCAACGCCGGATACCGAAATGGTCAAAATGAAGTGTCTTCGAAACTTTGTGTTTCTGATGTTACAGGCTCGTTTATTTCCTTCTGTCGTATAGTTTTCATTTACCTTTCAATTTCTCTGATCAGTTATCAGCGGCTCTGGCGTAAAAACTTATTTCGTTCATTAAACGTTTCACCGTTGCGACCCTCGGCTGTCTCGAATGAAGTAAACGCGACCAATAAGACGGTAAAACGCGGATAACTCCGTTGGAACTTTCCAGAGCCATGTTGCGTCGGAGCAGATGTCAGGAAATATCACGGGAAGTTTGTCCTTTTAGGAACGTAACTGGGAAGATAGAAGAATTAATGGTGGTTCCGTGGAAGGTCAATATCGAGGATGTCATTTATTGGCCGAGGAAAATCGTGGATGGGAATAGAATCTGGGACGTTTAAGGGACGATGACGTCGACCGGTAACGAGCAGCCAGCGAACGTGGTGTAACGAAGATAATGATGAGAATTACGAAGACGAGGGGCTCGTAAACCAGATGAAACAGCTGTGCAGTGTGCGAAGATAAAATAACAATTGCGGGAAAGATGGTAACCATACGCGATAACGCATAATCCACGTGTAATAACCAAAACGATCGAATGACCAAATTAAAAATTACCTTTTCCAGTCGCGTCGCTGTTCGATGCATCGATCGGCGCAAGACTTTGATTGGATTTACCTTTCCGATGCGACGAAACGTTGTAGCGATTCGAAACTGCGGTGATAAACTTCGAAACGACTCGAGATTAACTCATGTCTCGCATCATCCGTACACCCGGTAATTTCCACTCGTTTCAATTTCGTTCGCCTGAAATTACCGGGGCCTTCAACGTCGATGAAACTCTATAAATTAAAACCTCTCTGTAAAATGGAAATGGTAAAAAATACACGAGAGTGAAACTCGCGTAAATTCGATCGAATTTCCGAGGTATTTTACCAAACAAGATATCGCATTCACAATGGATCCAATTACCAACCAGTCCGCGGGTATTAATACGCGATTGATTTTGCCAAATGTAGCTGTGGATAAACAAGATTTAGCTCAGCTTCTAACGCGATCGTCGGATACAATTGGAATATCGAATTAGTTTTTGAAAGCTTCCAACGCCGACCGACTATTCCTGCCGTCTATTTTCTCCGTCGTTAATTTGCATACGAGCAATGGCGTGTAGATATCCATCGGTAC